AGCTCCAGCGCCTCCAGCTCCAGCGCCTCCAGCTCCAGTGCCTCTAGCTCCAGCGCCTCGAGCGCCGGCACCTCCAGCTCCAGGGTCTCCAACTCCAGGGCCTCCAGCGCCAGCGCCTCCAGCGACAGCGTCTCAAGCCCCAGCTCCTCCAGCTCCAGTGTCTCCAGCTCCAGCACCTCCAGCTCCAGCTCCTCCAGCGCCAGTGCCACCAACACCACCAGCTCCGGCAGCTCCAGGACCAGCAGCTCGAGCACCTCCGGTACCGCAAGCTCCAGTAGTAACTCCAACACCTCCGGGACTAGAAACTCCAGCGCCTCCAGCTCCAGTGCCTCCAGCTCGAGCGCCTCCAGCTCCAAGGTCTCCAGTGGGAGAGCCTCCATCTCCTGTAGCGCCACTCCTAAGGCGTGTGCACTGAGCAAACCACTCGCGCAGCTGCTGCGGTGAGAGAGGCTCCCGCTGGGGACACAGTCATGGCGAGGCACCCGCAGGACCTCCAGTAGACACAGTACCCCGAGGCTCAGCACCCCCACAGCCCACACCCTTAAACTCAGCACCCCCAAGCTCCGCACCCCCAGGCTGTGCACCCCCAAAATCCGCACCCTCAGGCTCAAACCCCCAGGCTCCGCACTCGCAGGCTCAGCACCCCCAGACGCAGCCCCCAGACGCAGCACCCCCAGACGCAGTACCTCTAACAGCACCTGAGTCTACAGCGACCTCGACAGGCATAGTCCCGAGGAGTGGGTCTACCTGAGGGGGACCTGGAGCAAGGAAGAGCGGCGGGGGGGGGGGAGAGGGACAGTGCGGTAGGGGAAGAGACAGTAAAAGGGAACTGACTCGTCAAACGTGACGTCCTGAGAGGGCACAACACGACGTGAGGTGGGGTGGTAAAACTGCCAGCCAGGCGCGTCAAGGGGAAAGCCAAGGAAGACGCACGGAATAGCACGGGCGGAGAGCTTGTCCGCAAAAGTATCGCGGATAAAGGCACGAGAGCCCCAGACCCGAACACCGACGCATCACCAACCTTCCCCGTCCAACGCAGTGTAGGCGACGTCTCCGGCAAGGAGATACGGGGCCAGAGGTTGAGCTGATGCGCAGCGTACCAGACCGCAAATGGCCACAGAAAATGGGGAGCAGCCGCATGGATCATGGAGGTACGAGCCACCTCCATGACTAAGCCAATGCGACGCTCAGCAATCCCATTTTGTTGCGGGGAAGCTGGAAGCGTGAACGACTGGAGGATGCCCTCCCCATGACAAAAGTCCCGCAAGAGGTCGGAGGAGAACTCACCACCTCTATTTGAGTGCAGACGCAGGACAGGAAGGTCCTCGCGGAACCGCTCGCAGAGGCGGAGACGGACTGCACAGATCCAAGGGATCAAGACATCGGGGATCTCACCCTTGCTGTGCAAGGGGAAGACCGTGGTGTAACGCGTGTAGTCGTCAACAACCAGCAGGAAGTAGCGCTCGCGATCCTGACCACTGACGCGGGCTGGGCCCCACACGCCCATGTGGAGAGTCTGCAGGGGAGCAGTCGTCGGGGGAAACGAGGAGGAGTGAGGAGCGGCGCGCTGCCGCCCCTCGACGCAAGGAAGGCAGGGCGGGGCAGACGAGGGCGGGAGGGGAGGCAGAGACCTGGGAAGACCAAAAACAAGGAGACGGGAGTGCATTCAACGAAGGCATGGCATGGAGGGGTGACCAAGGCGGTGGTGCCAGAGGAGAGACTGGTGCGAGAGGAGGCGAGACGAGCAGGGGGGTGCTATCGGACCTGACGTTGACACCTGCGCAGACGCAGCTACATGAAGAGGCTCGGTAGTCAGTGTGTACAGACTCGACCCAGGCCGACGGGTGAACGTGGCCAGGTGACGACCCGTCCGTGTACACGTGCAGATCGACACACGCTGACCCCCAAGAGTGGTGGTAGTGACCATCGCATCCTGGAGGGCAGCGGTACTCACCAACTCTGGTACGACAGGAGGCGAGACGAGCAGGGGGGGTGCTACCGGACCTGATGTTGACACCCGGGCAGACGCAGCTACTTGAAGGCTCACTAGTCAGTGTGTACAGACTCGACCTTGGCCAACGGGTGAACGTGGCCAGGTGATGACTCATTCGTGTACATGTGCAGATCGACACACGCTGACCCCCAGGAGTGGTGGTAGTGACCATCGCATCCTGGAGGGCAGCGGTACTCATCAAGTTCGTAGAGAACAAGGGGAGGTGAAGACCTGAGAGTGAGCCGGACGGAACCGCCGGACACAGGAGAACATTGGAGGATCGGGCAACAACTGGGCCCCCTGAGGGGTTAGCCAGTCTGACCGGTACAGGTGCAGAGAGAGAAGTGAGGGTGGTACTGTTGCGAAAGAAACAGCGGGAAGCACCTGAGTCGAGGGTAAAGGTGTGCAAGGCCTCAGCAGGTGCAGTACCAGGGAGAGCAGACTCACTAGCACCTAGAGCAGCAGCCTCTATACCTAGGTCAGGCGGCACAGACCGGTAACAGTCACCCTCAGCACTAACAGACGAGGCATACATGGCAGCTAGGATAACATCAAAGTCAAGAGCAAAGATATCAACTCGAGACCTAAACAGCTCCTCCCAGTGGGGGCGCTCAGCCTCGTCACCAAACTCTGCGCGCCAAGCGTCATCGAGGCGGGAGAAGCAACGGTGCTGAGTGTGAGGCTTCCCGCATGTCTGACCAGCACGGTCACCCGTGCGAATGACATACGGGCAGTGAACACTACCCTCAGACGCCCCACGCTGAGCAAACCACTCACGAAGCTATTGGGGCGAAGGGGTCTCGCTCCGACGCGGCTGCTGGTGCCTCTGGCCACAGCGAGAACGTCTCCTCTGAACAGCTCCACCCCGACTGCCACCACTCCCACTGCTGCCACTACCACCACCCCCACCACCTCCACCACTACCGCCACCAAAGCCCTCACTCCCGCCACCACTCCCACCGCTGCCACCACCTCCGCTACCTTCACCACCTCCACTGCCGCCACCACCACCACCCCCGCTGCCACCGGCACCACTCCTGCCACCCTTGCCCTTGCTCTTGCGGCGCTTCCCACTACTAGCGGAAGCAGCCCCGACATCCTCAGCACTATGGATGTCAAGAGCAGCAGCAGAGGCGTAGGAGGGGGCAAGGGGGGAGAGGGAACACCCCTCAAAGAAGGGCGTGCGAGGAGTGCTACGAGCGGCACCTACAGCGACTACGCTAGTCTCAACTGCAAGGAGGTGCTGCTTGAGCAGGTCGACAGTGAGGTCTGTGGGGTCAAGTGCGAGGAAGTGGTCACTGACAGCGCGAAGAGAGTAAGGGAGGCGGGTGACTATGAAGTAGAGAGTGATGTACATCGGGGGCAGGTTCCTGTCAAGGAACTCTGCTGGGAGGGCAGTGTGGTAGCGAGCGTCGCTAGTGCGTAGGTGGGTAATGAGGTCCTCGACTGTGGCAAAGGCGGACAGCTCGGGAAACAGGTAGGGCAGTATAAGTCGGCCGAGAGCAGCAGTGGCAGGGGAGGAGTAACGTTCAAATACAGCGTCGTACAGTGCTTTAGCAGTCTTGTGCTGGCCAAATTGAGCTCGTTCGGCTAACGGCAGGTGGTTGCGAACGGCTAAGCGAGCAGCAGCATCACGCGTAAGCCACTGTGAGAGAGTCGCACTGTCAGCTGTGGCGGGAGGGGTGAGAGAGGCTCTAGACGTGTGGTCAAACAACGAAACGCTGTCTCTAGAATCGCTCAGTAGGTACAGCTGTAAGTCGTTGAGCCACGTATCGAACTGGATCGGACGGCCCTCATGATCGAAGGTGAGCACACTGAGACAAGCCATAGCGGGCAGAGCAGGGTTGTGCGCTACTAGCAAAACAGCCGGGCGGCGCAAGCAGCAGGGCGGGCTGCAAAAGGGCGGCAAGCGGTTTGCCAGAGGGCGGCGCGAGGGCTGCAAAGGGGTGGCGAGCGGGCTGCCAGCGGGCGGCGCGCGGGCTGCAAGGGGCGGCGAGCGGGCCGCAAGGGGCGGCGAGTGGGCTGCAAGGGGCGGCGCGCAGGCTGCAAGGGGCGGCGAGCGGGCTGCAAGAGGCGGCGAGCAGGCTGCCAGAGGGCGGCTCGCGGGCCGCAAGTGGGCGGCGAGTGGGCCGCAAGGGCGGCGAGCTGGCCGCAGGGCCGGCGAGCGGGCCGCAGGCGAGCGGCGAGCGGGCTGCAGAGGCGAGGAGCGGGCTGCAAGCTGGCGGCGAGCGGGCTGCAGGGGCGGCGAGCGGGCCGCAAGCGAGCGGCGAGCGGGCTGCAGGGGCGGCGAGCGGGCTGCAGGGGCGGCGCGCTGGCTGCAGGGGCGGCGCGCGGGTTACAGGGGCAGCTCGCGGGCTGCTAAGAGCGGCGCAACGGGCTGCAAAGGGTGGCGCGTGGGCTGCTAAGGGCGGTACAGCGGCCAGCAGGGCGGCGCGCCGTTAGGGCAGGGCGGCAGGGCAGCTAATGGGGCAGCTCTGTGGTGGGCCCTAAAAAAAATCGGTCCTAGGGAAGGACCTGCTATGAAACCATGTCAGAATCCCAACCACTAGACCATTGGGATAAAAGGGCTTGTTAAGTAGCGGGTCAGTGCGCCCACACCCCCCCAGGACAACGAGCCTGTAACCCTTCCCTAGGATCAATCGGGGATCACCAGTGGACCTCTGACACCCCCCCGCACTGGGATGCCCGAAGTGCTCACACTGGGATTCGAACCTTAGACCTTCGCTCTGATACCATGTCAAACTATAGAACGAGAATGAATGAACTATGAATGAACCCTAATTGGGTTGTACCCCTTATGGGCTACCCCACTATGGCCTACACAAAGTAAGCACTATAACATTTTGACAGGGAGTACAACACTTTCTAGGGTTAGTATTTGTATCTCCCATCTTGCTAGTCACCTCATTCCGTTGTTGCCACTTTGGTATCACGAGTAGGTAACGCTCCGAGCCTAGCCTAGCCCGCCCCGCCCTGTTCCCTAGCCTAGCCCGCTCTGTCCCGTTCCTTAGCAGGCCGCGCCCTGCCCCGCCCCACTCGTAGTCAGCTGCGCACAGCGCGCTGCCCTGTCCCGCCCTGTAGCCGCGCACTGCCTAGTCCCGTCCTGCCCCGCGCTGCCCGCCCCGTGCGCTGCACTCCTTGTGCTGCTCAGCCCGCACTACCCGCCTAGTTTCGCGCGTCCTGCCCTGTGCTACCCGCCCCGCGCTGCCCGCCTTGCGCTGCCTGGCCTGCGATACCCACCCCGTTCCGCGCTGCCCGTCCTACACTACCCACCCCGTCCCGTCAAGAGCAGCCACGCGCGCCGCCGCACACACGTAGCCGCACACACGTAGCTGCACGCGCAGCAGCAGCTCCATGCTAGCAGCTCCCTGTACAGCAGCAACTGCGCGCGCAGCAAGTAGCCACGCGCATGCCAGCCGCCATGCGCACAGCGGCACGCGCACTGCTGCACACGCACCAACAGCAGCGCATGTGCCTGCTGCCGCACGCGCAACTGCACCTACCGCGCCCACAGCTGCATCACCCTTCCACGCCCCTCCGGCATCGTACTTACTCGCAATTCTAGTGGCATCCATTACGCCACCAGTGCCTGCTGTCCTTCACGCACTTGCTGCCATAGGCATTCTCCGCGGTGGCTGGCCGCCGCAGTCCACCTCCCTAGGGCACGTTAGGGTTAGTGCCTCTCCGTGCCTGGCGTCTCTAGCCCTATCGGTGTGGCAGTCTCGTGACGCGGCTGCTTGCATTGCACTCGGCATCCTTCTTCACGAGTCTGAGGAGGCTCACTTCACCCAGGTTTGATCTGCCAAGGACCTGTACATTATTCCACTCCCTCCTCCGCCTCTCTTGGTCTCTTTTGATGCCATTTTTGTCTCCCGAACTAGGAGCGTTTGACCGCACTTCTGACCTTATTACCCACCTGCGCTCGCTCGATGTTAACTACCGTGCTGTTTGCACCGAGGCTGAGCTGCACTACTCCCCCTGCCCATGTCGATCACTATTCACTTCATTGTCACTAGCCTCCTTGACCGCCTTCCCCTGTTCGTGACGCGTTTCTTCGGAAGCACCCTAGTGCGCTCACTATTGACGTCCTTGAGACAGCTCTCAAGGACATCGAGAGCAACATCCACTTCGTTGACTCCGCATTTGCCACTGTAGTTCCCCCGCTCCTTACTCGTCCGGCCACCGCACCCTTCCAGGCTCTCCACTTGGACGTCTGGGGCCCTGCCTCTCGCCCCGTGCCCGAGAGGGAGAGCTTTTTTCTGGTGGTCGTTGACGACTACTCCGGTTAGACAACGGTGTCCCTCTTGGCGAAGAAGTCCGACGTGACTTTTACCCTGATCAGGTGGTTGCTGGCCACTGAGGCCACTCGTGATATTCATGTCCGTTCTCCAATTTGTCCGTGGGGGTGAGTTTTGCTCCAGCATTCTTCCCAAATTCTATAGCAAGCAGGGCATCACCTAGTCTTGGACGCTTCTAGAGCCCCCACAGCAGAATGCGGTTGTTGAGTGCCGCATAGGCTTGGTCGTGGAGATCGCCCACACCTCCATGATCCATGATTCATTTTCTACGGCCCTGCAGTTCGATACGCTGCCCACCAGCTGAACCTATGGCCTCGTGTCTCATAGCCAGAGGCTTCACCGACCAAACTTTGGACCAGGTCCCATGGTGTTGCGTCTGAGTATCATGTCTGGGGCTGCCTTGCACTTGTCCGCGTCACCTCTGCAGACAAGCTCTCAGCTCGCTTCCTCCCTTGTGTCTTCCTTGGTTTCCCGGTGGACGCCCTGAACTCCCCTCGGTAGCACGTTAGGTACCGCCCACTTCCCCGCAGTCACCGCAGCAGCCGTCGGCACTACCGTGACAGTTTACAGTGGACTATGGGGGTGTTGGTGTTGGAGGCATGGGCGCTAGAGGTGTTGGTTCAGAGGGTGCTGGCACTGGAGGTGCTAGTTTTGGGGGTGCTGGAGCTGAGGGTGCTGGCGTACGAGGTGCAAGTTCTAGGGGTGCTAGAGTTGGAGGTGTTGGCACTAAAGGTGCTAGTTCTGGGGGTGCTGGATCTGGAGGTGTTGGCACTGGAGGTGCTAGTTTTGGGGTGCTGGAGATGCAGGTGTTAGTGCTGAGGAGACTGGAGGTGTTGGCACTAGAGGCACCACTAATACGGAGCCTACCCTGCCTCCCCACCGCTACCCGACGCGTTTCCAGGAGGTTCGTCAGCTGGAGCATGAGCAGCAGGAGAGATTGGAGCAGGAGAGGCTGGAGCTAGAGTAACAGCAGCAAGAGCTGCAGTAGCAGGAGCTGCAGCAGCAGCAGCAGCAGCGGACACCATAGCCACCAGTTTGCAGCAACTGTTCCCTCATGTGAGTGGCATACAAACCCTTGGTCACCCTTCTTCCTCCTCTGACCACTCATCGCCTCCTACGGCACACAACATTTCTCCTCTAGACTCGTCCATAGCTGTCTTCTCTCCTCCTCGATCACAGTCGTCTCTTCTTGTTGTCCCGCACGACTTGACAATTCACTATCCCATGTGTGCTCGTACCTCGTCTCCTTCTGACGACCTCCGCATTGTCTTGTTTTCTTCTAGTCCTTGTCATTCTCTGCCTCAGTCTGTTCTTCTTTCACCTCTTGAGTCGTCTCTTACAACCTCCTCTCACCCTATCACTGACTACTACCACACTGCTCGTCTTGTTGTCTCCCTGTTCTCGCCTCTCTTGTCAAGGACCCTACTACTTCTCCGTCGTCTGTCTCGGCTCTTGTTGCCGTTGTTGCTGACTTTGCCACCACCTGCCGCCTTGAATACGCCACCCGCGTGGTGGACCGTCCGCCGCGGGTGAGTCTGCCCTTGGGTGTGACGTCCTAGAGGATAGGCAGTTTGAGCTGGAGTTCTTGGCAGCCGCTTCTCCCCACCTTTGTGCCATGCTGCAAGCCCCTGAGGAAGACCTCGACGCCCTTGACATACCGACTCCTCGCACGTACTGTGAGGCAGTTTTAGGGCAGAGGGCCTCTTAGTGGATAGCGGCCATAGACTCAGAGATGGCGTCTTGGAGATCCACAGGCACTTACGTCGAAGCAGTTCCCCCTCCTAGGGCGAACGTATTCGATGGCATGTGGAACTTCAAGGTGAAGCAGCCGCAGGGATCGCCACCTATCTTCAAGGTGCACTACATGGCTAGAGGCTTCAGTCAGTGTGAGAGAGTCGACTTCTTCCAGACCTTTGCCCCAACCCCCAAGATGGCTACTCTTCGGGTGTTAATTCACGTTGCAGCAAAACAAGTCTATGAGCTGCACTCCCTCGGCTTCTCCACTGCCTTTCTCCAGGGCCGCCTACATGAGGAGATCTGGCTGCGCCGTCCTCCTGGCTTCACTGGCACTTTTCCACCTCGGACCTAGTGGAGCCTAATTCGACCAGTCTATGATCTCTGCCAGGCGCCCCGTCGATGGCACGACCCGCTACGCACCACTCTTGCTGACCTCGGGGTCCGTCCTTTGTCAGTCGATCCGTCGATGTTTGTCCGCATTGATTCCACTCTGTTCTTCGTTCTTGTCTATGTGGACAAGACACATGTGCACTGACCTGGGTGAACTGTGCCACTACCTTGGCTTGCAGATCACCAGGGACAAAGCCGCTCGCACCATTAGGTCACACATGGTGTAGCAGGTTCGTTTGCAGTCCGGGTTCCAGATTTCCACCAAACAACCCACTCCTCTTGCCGTCAATCATAGACTCACTGGCCCTTTCCCTACGAGCCCTTTGAGCCCAGTGGTCATTACGCAGAGCTTGTGGGCTGCCTCATGTACCTGATGACATGTACTCGTCCGGACCTCGCTTCTCCACTCAGCATCCTGTCTCACTTTCTTGCGACAGGGAGACACCGTCCTGGTCAGTGGACGGCTGCTGTGAAGGTGGCAAAGTACATGGCGACTACATCAAGAATGGGGCTTGTGCTTTGGAGGGACACAGCTAGTTGTGCTGACCTGTCACTGCGACTCTTCCTACGCCGACGACGTCAGACTCGGCGGTCTACACAGGACACTGTTTTAGCTTGGGCACTAGAGTTGTGTCGTGGAGACCTAGTTGGTCGTCGTCTGTGGCAACTCTAGTGTAGAGGCATAGATCTACGCAGGTGCCATGGCTACGCAAGAGTTTCACTGGTTGACCTTCTTGCTCACCGACCTTGGTGAGCGGCCGAGCTCTGCGCCGACCTTGTTCGCTGACAAAAAGGCCATGATACTCCTGTGTCAAGAGCCTCGACTCCAGGGCACACATGAACTTGAGGTACTTTCTCCTGCGAAAGTTGCAACGACTCGGCTAGGCACGCCTGGAGTTTGTGGCCTCCGTGGCCAACAGTGCAGACACATTCACCAAGGCCCTTCCGTGTGGTGACCACCATAGGTTCTGTCTGCAGTTAGGCCTTGTTGAGGCAAGCCCTTGGTTGCCATCGTCTCCTGAACACTGAGCTGCCCTTGTGGCCGCTTGCTTGTGCTCAGACTGTGTGGCGATTTTGTGATTCACCCCGAGCTTTGTGGTGTTAATTCTATTGACTCATCTTGTGACCATTTGTTGTCTTGACTCGTCTTTGATGCCCCTCACTTAGCCTATGGGGGGGTGTGTCAAATGTTATACATTGTGTTGATATGCTATAGTTAGTAGGGCTGTAGGGAGTACAACGCTTTGTAGGGTTAGTATTTGTATCTTCCATCTTGCTAGTGTCGAAACATCCCAACTCTCCTTGCCTCTGGCTTCTGTGCTACCTTAAACCTGTTGCAACACCTTGTTCTGTCATGCTATAGGACGGTACACCTCCTGGCCCTCCTGAGGCTGTCTCCATATGGTGCACGAGTGCCTCCGAGCCTCTACTAGTACCGCTGAGCATCCCGCAAATGTGCTACATGTAAAATTTCCAGGGCGAAGTGCAAGCGTGTGCGAACGTAATCTCCCCTGGCCTTGGCTAATGCTGCACAAAGTTCTGGCGCTCCTACAACTACTACCTCCTGTCAAAGTAACGAACGAGAATGAATGAACTATGAAATAGTTGGGTACAAGTACTAACCCTAATTGGGTTGTACCTCTTATAGCCGACACAAATGTAAAAGCTATAATGTTCTGACACACCCCCATAGGCAAAGTGGGGGAGAACAAGTGGTCACAAGACCAGTCAAGAAAAGCAAAGCAAGCTCAGGGTGGATCACAAAGGCACCACGCAGTCCGAGCACAAGCGAAGGGCCACAAGGCCAGTTCACATGCAGAGTGATATAAAGAGAACAAACAATACAGTGATCATATCCTAGCAAGTGCAAGCATGCAGATATATATATAGATCACAGTACAAGCAGAGTCAAGCAGTAAGCAAGTGAGGCAAAGTAGGCACAAGGCCTAATACAGTAGAGAAGCGCTCACGATCATCAGGCAAAAGTGCCTAGGTGAATATATCAGCAGTGTTGGCCCTAGTGGCCACGTATGCAAGACAAAGCTGGCCACGCTGCTGCAACTCTCAAGCAAGAAAGTATCGCAGAGCGATGTGGTTCGTTCTGTGCTCCAGTCTGTGCTCCTGACACAAGGCAATCATGGCCTTGTTGT